CAGGTCACACCCTGGTTGGAAATCTCCTCCATTCGGGTAAAAGTCATAATGGGCCACAGCTTGCTTAATTCCCACACTGAGGCCCATACGCTCGTGGGTGAAAGTGTGGATGGCATCCACAAATTCAGCATCATCAGGAGACAGTCTGTCCGTGGGAGACATGCCTTCAAACAGTGGACCAGCTGGATCGAGCCCTGAACAGACATGATATACATAAGCATTGGGTGGTTTTTGAATATTAAATGAATAAATTGCTATTTATTAAATTTAGCTATGAAAGGACTAAAAACCTCACCAGTAATTCTTCCAATCTTCTCCGGACCTGTCAGAAAGCTCCCAGCAAATCCAGAGATGTGAGCGCCGAGGCTGTAGCCAATCAAATGAGCATTTCTAAGTGGGTACTTGTAGTGCTCCTGTAGGTGATTAAAGACATGCATGATTGCTGAAACATATAGATTTGACTATAGAATGAAAATGTATCACCTTTCAGTCCACTGACATCACAAAGATCAGTGGAGGAGTTTATTCCCACCTGAAGTGTCTGCAGTAGGTGAGCTATGTCTTTTCCAACAGTGCGGGTTTTCTGTACTGCGATTGGATAGTGCTGCTGAGCCAGCGACAGCCAGTCTGTAAGCACCACATTTGCATCTATCAGGTTTGTCCTCACAGCCGTGGCTAACCTCATCACCCAGCTCTCCATTATGCCATCCACCTTCACAACAGCAAAACTAAGCATTAAAAAAACAGCTTCTTACTTTTAAAGTGTTAATATGTGCTGTGCACAGTACAGTCCTGTGCATAGTTCAGTTCGGCAAAAATGAGAGAAACTGCAGTGACTCTGTTACTTAACTAAAGGATTTTTCCTCATAAACCGTTACAAACTGTTGGTTTTTCACTTTTCCCCACCCATCATATATTGGCATGGTCTTTGTGTTTATGGAGGGTTTTTTCTTTCTTATTTTTCTTTTTGAATTCTTAGTATATGGGATTGGGGGTTTTGTTTGGTTCTCATTTGCTGAGCTAGTGTTTGTTGGCTTTTATGGAGACTTAATTCTCATGGTATTTTTGAATTCAGGTTCTTATTTTTGAGCACTTGTCACAAGTTTCTTTTTTAGTGATTTGTAGTTCTTGTGAAATTAGTGAGTTCAGTTTTGTGTTTTGCTTCTGTTTGTTATTCTTCACCAGTATTCCCCAGTCTGTGTCCCCTCTGTCTCGTTCATGTCCTCATGTCTTCACATGTGTCATCCTTCACTGTCTCTTATGCTTCTCCAGTTCCAGCTGCCTTTAGTCTGAAGCTTGATTTTTCTTTGTTTTTCCTGTGTCTTCAAAATGTTGTCCCATTGAATGAGTTCATTCATGTTCTGTATTTATCTTTCATGTTTCACTGTCTCCTTGTTTCAGTAAAGGTGATTGTTGTTCATTTTCTGTTTTCATTTCTATATCACCTATGATTCAGTGTTTTATTCTCATCACCTGTATTGATTACGCTCACCGGTGTCTTGTTCCCCATGCGTCTCTAATCTCCAGCTAATCCTCAGTGTCTATACTCTCCTGTCCTCCCTTTGTCAAACTGATTGTCTGACATCTGGGACCCTATTCTCAGACTATGGAAGTTTGTTTCTGCGACAGAAAAAACATTTTTTGTCATCCATAAGTCAGAATTTTAGGTTATTTTCTAAAAAAAAAAATCTTTAAATTGAAAATCAAACTTGAAATTTTGCTTTTATACCATGACTGTGAAACATATACTATATGGTTTCACTCCAAATAAAATCAGGCTACCTCATACGGAGAGGCATAACAAACTACAGGGCGACTAAGAGGGTGCAACCTCAGCCAAGGCCTGCTTCCTGTTTTGCAGTTTAGGAATAGGTGACCTAGATGTGCACCCAAATGTAACAGCTTCCTTTTATCTGCCCATCCTCCACCTCTCCTGCAGCATTCATGAACTTCAGCTTGGTGTTGAAATCTCGCTGACAGATAAATATGATACAGATTGTTTTTACCTTGTGAATGGGAATTACAGCAAGGAGGTTTTATGTGTGTTCTTAAGTCTGTTTGTGGACAAATATTTTCACTGTTATAGAGACAGCTTTATAGTTGTGTAACTGAGATCAAAATGTTCCATACTCCAAAGAGAAAAGGGCACTCAAAGTTCAGTGGGGTCAAGAGAGTCATGGCACTAGCACCCCACCCCTTTTTAATGTACGTTTCTCTGTGTTAGCCCTGCAAGAGTCTTGGCGACCTATTCAAGATGTGCCCCTCCTCTCGCCTTTTGACCACTGGGATAGCCCCCCCCCCCCCCAACAACCCTGAACTGGATAAGCAAAAAAAAGGTTGAATGATGGATAATGTACGTATAAATCTCTACCAAAGCTTTAGTAATCTTGAGTTGTGACGGGTGTGGTCTGGGAACTAACTGCTATCGTGGCTGACATGATCCGATCCAAAATTTAATTACATTTCAGTGCAGATCCACGTGTCTACCTCATGGTGTGTTTTTTCAACATGTTTCAGCCTTTTGAAGATGTTTCCCTCCCTGTAGTCAAGTTCCATGTTTAGTATCCAGTGGCTTAAGTCAGCGAAGCGTAAAGAGAGAAAAGGGAGTTGACCTTACCGACCACCCATGAGTGATGATGATGAGGGGATTACTGCTGTTGAAGCCACAGGAGGTGAGAGTGTGCAGCTGCAGAGGGTCCAGCGTGCAGGTGTCCTCACCTCCTAAAAACAGCCTAAAGACTGAACTGCTGACATATGGCTCTTTCTCCCTCAGGACATCCCTCTCCTCTGTCTCTACTGCACCTCAGAAATCAAATAATGGATTGTCTGTTAGAAACAAGTACTTTACAGAACATGATGGTTATGCTTACAGAATAATTACAAATGATGAATGGAAATTTGTCAATTTGAGAACACAGAGTGTGTTTTGATGCATTAATGCAAGTATTTGAGTGAGTAAACGTGGAGAAATCAGAACAGTCAGTTCCTGCTGAGGCTCCATTGGACTGTAGACTAACTAACGCCCAATCAGAAGCCCTTTGCTGTGAGTCCAGGTCATACAGACCTCGCTGGCATCTGCTCACAGACATCACTTCTCAACAAGTCTCATCGGATGAATCTCTGCCAGACTCTTCTATCATTTGTTACGTAAACTCCTCCTCCCTCAACATGTTTAAAACCACAGCCAATAATGCCAAAAACCAAGGCGCCTGTAAACACCCAGCAATGCAGCTGCCTTCATACAAGTTCTGGTTCCTGATGTGAAGCCCAAATCGTCTTAGCAAGAAAAGTAAAAGAACATCATTTATCATCATTTGCTTTGGTGTGTCTCTTCAGTGACTGTTTATCGACACGATCAGTGAAAACAGTCTGACTCATTAGTAACAGAACACAAACAAACCCTAACCCAGAAATTTGTACAAGAACTGTGTTTACTTTGCAAATCAGTCATGGTATCTATCACAGCGCATAATTAAAAAAAACATATTTCTAAATGGGGCATGAAGTCTGTCATAAGCCCACATTTAAAGACCCAGTAAAAACACCGGCACTAAAGACTGAGATGGAGAAAATAATGGCAAACCTAAAGGAATATGATTTATTCCTTTTTATTTATGTAGCGCCAAATCACAACAACAGTTACCTCAAGTAGCTTTGTATTGTGAGGTAAACACCCTACAATATTACAAGGAAATCTGATCCGAGTTAAAATCTCCAGTAACTTTTCCTTTTTGCGCACGCTTTAATGATTTCGTTGTAGGACTTTTAAAAAAAACAAACAAACAAACATCAATAAGGTGTGAACGCATCCTTTACGAGCTTTTAAATAGTTGAGATTTTGTAGAAAAAACTCTGGGTTTTAAGATGCTAAATATTTTATTTTATTTAAAAAAGTATTTAAAAGTTCAAAACAACAAGTTCAACTTAACAAGATCTGACAGCTGTTTCAGTTTTTAAGTCTCTCTCTGGATGAACGCCATTCACCCAGATATCCACGTGGTGGAGAAAAGGCTAACAGCTTTGTCCAAAATCTCCCATAGATGTTAAAAAAAAAAAAAACGTGATTCATATTTTTATATTCATCAAATCATTTGGTGACCTGTTTTTCCCCAGACACTGGGGGCACTGGCAATCTTGAAAGGACCGATTACATGAAAAATGTTTTATCACAGGATAAACGTGAAAGCTCAGAACAGCTTTATACCGATTTGAAGTGACTCTTCACTGTAAGGGAACAAGGGAAACGCACACACATGCACACACACACACGCACACACACACGCACACACACACACACACACGCACACACACACACACACTGTTTGTGTTTCTCTGCTTATTTGTTGCTCATCTGTGGAATCTTAATGTAACTTTTAAATGTAATTGCTCATATGAATTAGTCAAAATAAACATACAGCCTGAAGCAACTGGACTGAAACTTGGTTAAAATTTCACTTTACAAGACATGAATTTACTTTCAGCTGCTTCCTGATGTACACGGGGTAGCCATGACAAGTAGCTCCACATGTCTAATTTATCTGTGTTTCTATGTCGGCCTCCTCTGTGATCCATTTGTGTCTCCTCCTGGGACCAAATCGGGGAGCTTTTGCTTTTTAGGCAAATACTACTCTGTGGAACCACATCTTTATAACGATCTACTGTGAGGCTAAATAAACCGTAAAGATTGTTTTAAAGATTGTCTTTAGAAAGAGATACTTTGGGAAATTATGTGTATACTTCTGCGGAGTACAGATTGGCTAATTTCGGTGTGAGTCTCATTGCAAACACTTTCCTCAGCATGAATTCACAGCATGAACTATAGTTAAATTTAGTGTTTGTTAAAGATTTTGATAGCATCAATCAATCTGTGCACAAATCACAGAAGTGAAGGCAAAGCATGATATTTCACTTACCTGCTCTGATTCCTTTGATTTTCTTTCCCTCACTGAGGTGATAGATTAAAAGCAAACACCACAAGACTTTGACCACAAACATGCCGTCAGCTTGGTAGGTCCTTTTGGCCACGCTTAGAAAATCTTCAGTGCGTGCTGTGGATTTTAAAGGTGAGAGCCTTTTGTCTGCAGATGTAGGAGCTGTTTTTAAGGAAGCCTCATTTCTGTCCTGAGGATTGAAATCAGATCATTTTACCGTACTCTAAAGAGAAAGAGAGGGGACACCAGGAGCAATGGTTCGTGGATAAGGGGGATTTATTCTTATCCTGATTGGCTGGGGGCTGGATCGTGTACATTGAGCACATTGTGAAAGAGCAGAGGTATGATAGGCAGGGGATGTGGTTCGATGTGCTGGAAGTGACCTTGGATCCTCCATTGAGACCCTTTCCAGGTACCAGGGTAGAGGTACAGAATATGTACTTTTTATGTAGCTTTTATAGAACTATGTGTTATTGGCTAAAGACATGACATGGATTAGATGTGGACTATTACCGCACTGCTTAAACCTATGTTTAAACAGTTGACGAAGAGCACTCTGTGTACCCAGGGCACACAGTGGATCAATACTGCACACAAAATTTTCTTAACGTCCCACAGAGTGGGTAAAAAATAAAACCCCAGGCACTTGTTTTCATTTAGTAATATTGGGTATTAACAAAATACTGTGTCTAAATCATATTTTCTTTAGTTTTAATCTACTGTTTTTGTTTTCTTCCTTTTAATGCGTACACAGTCTTCACTTCTGATTTCTGTTTATAATCTCTGCGTTATAAAGAAGTGTATTTGTATTTTGTTTGTCTTTTGTATTAAAAACTCTACATAATATGTCTTTCAAAATAAATTTTAACATTTGCTTGATTCAGTACTTTTATATTAACAATGAATCATATTATTGTGTGTGCAGTCGTAGAGGTATCAAGCTTATATTTTGGTGTCTTTGTATCTGTTGTCTTTCTGTCTGATATTAGTAAAAAAAATTAGTTTGGGGTTTGCTCATTGCTTTGAGGAAAAATAAGCAAATAAATAAATAAATGTAGTTGTATTTATATGGCACAAATCAGAACAACAGCAGCCTCAATGCATATTATATTGTAAGGTAAGGTGTTTGGTATATTAACCTTACTATTAAACACTCTCTATACCTGTTCTGAACAGCAGCTATATTTAAAGCTGAGGTTTGTTTAATACATGATGTCGCCTGACACACTTTCAGACAGCACTCTTGATGACCCTGCTCTTTGCCAAGAATTGTGTACATCCATGCCTTCTTCGTGTGTGTGTGCACAGTTTTAGCAGGCAAGGACTGCCTTTGTGATGGTACTACACATATTTACATCCAGATGAGGGAAACATGGTGACAGCATAAAGACTGATGTGGAATCAAAGCTGCCATAAACACTTAATCTAGATCACAGCATGCAGCAGGCTCGGGTAGTGAGAGGCTGCTTTCTGAGGAAAAACCACTGATAAGGAAAAACACTTTGCATCCATTCTTCATGAAGCTGTTTAAGCTTCACAACCTGTCTTCACTGATTCGTTTTAAATGCTGCTTATCAGTTTACTACATTGATACAGTGACATGTGTTAAAGAAGAAAATGTGTCACACATTACAAGTACGTGTGATTTCAAACAGCTCTAACATAGAAGTACAAAGTATTATAAAAATAAACAATGAAATATAATTTCACTAATGAACAGTTGAATACATACAGTTAACAGTGCAGCGTTTAATGGATCAGTTCATGCACGGTGCACAGACAAACATCAGAGATTATGTCATCATTATTTCCTGTTTCACAAAACAAACAACTTTTAAGTGCTTTGAGTGCTTTTATATCGCTAAACCACCACCACACATTAGCAGAGATTATATGCTTCCTGTTTTCTGACAGCAGTGCCTACTCTGAGTGATCCAATCTTCAAGGCTGTGTTTAACGTCATGTTATGCTGAAAAACAGCCTTATGAAGACCAAACAGGTGATGTGATTGATTTAATTCATTTGTTCGTTTTTCTGGCTTTTTTCTTTCTGCACATATGGCTCAGCCCATCTAAGCTGTGATTCACATATAGATGAGGCATGTCAAACTCATTATACATGGTGGCCACATGCACCCCTCGTTGATCTTATGTAGTGAAAATGAAACCTGTCTCCTTTCTTTGCTTGCTGGGCTGATTCTGGCCCCCGCGCCTTATGTTTGACACCCCTGTTTTAGAGTATATGAAGATGTAAATTCGATTCTTCAAGGCTGCAAGATCGGGCAAAATTGGACATTTCAAATCATGTCTTAAACAAATACATATCAAGAGTAAATAGTGCAGATAAGATAATCTCAAAATATCACAAACTAATCTGAATCAAGAGGCTCAATGATTGTGTGCTTTGGAGGGAATTTTCAGCCTTTATTACACATTTCCCACATTGCTGCGAGAAGGTTTTAATGTAAACAGTTACAGTCAGTGTTTGCATACTGCCTGTGATACAGTGACACTACCGCTACAAAGAACATGAAGGAATTCAGTGACATGTGCTACATTCTTTGCAGAGAAGAAAAGTTTATGCGAGCATACATAAATGAAAATATAAACTTATACCAGTATCGTCATTTTAAGGCTCGACTTTCTACATATACACGTTAAAAAAACAAAACAACAACAGCAAGATGCAGCAATCGTACATTTTTACATGCGCGCAAAAGATGGTGTGACACAGAGAGAAGACACTCCACGATACCAATTAATGCCACTACCTAAACATATCATAAATTGCTACCTTTCAACAGTTTTCAAATACATGCTGTATATTTAATGCCCACTTGTTTGACAGAAACACATAAAAAAACAATATTGTTCAGAAACTTGGCAAATATTTCTGACAGGAGAAGATGGTCCCAGTTAGGAAATAGGAGATTAAAAATACTGCATAGCTACTGATTAATGCAGAAAAAACACTTTATATAAGGTTATATTATTATGATACTAAAGAGAATATATTTTTTGTATAGTTGATATATTATTTTAGTCAAATTTGATATATAAAAGAGCCCCTGGAAGATAAACCCTGATACCTGAAGTTGTATAGACTTTTAAAAAAAAGAGACTTTAAAGGCTTAATAAAATATTCATGTGTATATAAATAAATGACTATAAAATTTTCCATTCATGTACATGCTTCATGCAACTATTCACTGTAAATATACTCAGATATTTTTATAGTAGAAATAGATTTCAGTTTTCATGCTAACACCTGTTTTTTTTTAGTATTAAGTCATAGTTACGATCTCATATTTGTCCTGGACATTGTTCTCCTCTTGTTTTTCAGGTTCAGGGTGGTGCAGCTCAATGAAGATAAGGTAAACACCTGCTCCAACTGCGCCACCCACCATGGGCCCTACCACAGGAATCCACCACCAGCAGCCTCCAGCTCTGCAGACAGGAGACATACGCAGAGATTATAATGTCACAAAAACGCAGCCCCAAACAAGTATCTGGTCTTATTAAGGATTTAAAAATAATTCATCTTTGTGTCAATTTAACCATGGAAAGTGTTTCTCAGTGGCTCTGAAGGTGCTTTGACAAGTAAACAAAAACTAGTGACTTGTTTGCTTATTGCACAGTCCTAAAAAACAAACAAACTAGGATCATGAAGTAAAAAGTTTACCATGCAGAGAGAGGCTGATGTTAGATTCATGCCGAGGAATCACTAACAAGAGTGAAATTCTAATATTTTTATTTATACTCTAATAAATGGGATAATCATTAAGACAGACAGCTGATGGAAATGTCTTGTTGGGATTTTAAAAAACACTACAAACAATATGAAAATATTACCTTTATGTTTTGGTTTCAAAGAGTTTTATGTTGATTTGCTAGAACTGAGCAGGAACCTCCAGTGCTGAAAAATGTAACAAAAACTGCAGTTCTTCCAGTGGCCACTTGAGGCCAGCTCCAAAAGTGAGTTAAAATCATTCTTCTAATGTCGACATAGCCATCGTCACATCAGGAATAAACACAGTTATGACCTGATACAAAAAATTGTGTTTTTTACAACTCCTTCACTTTGAGTTTGAAAGGTTGATGCCAGTAGTGTATGAGTTACTTCATGGCTTGTTTGTAGAGTGTGTTGGACAAACAATATGTACAACATTATTGTTAATTATACCTGTAGACTGCCCAAGAAACCTGAGTGTCAGTTTTGAGTTAAATTCTAGTGGTTTTTGTTTTTCAAATTAATGTTACTTAGCACTAACTAGCAGATATCTCATTCTGTGAAATGCAACTAGCTAGCATTATCTAATAAGTTAGATGTAGCTTCTGGGTCCGAAAACAGGAGCCAGTACCTTAAACTTGCATTCCTTTTAACCCTTTAAGACCTACCATAGAACCAAGTCCGCCAGAGCTTATATTATATTTTTACAT